CTGCAACTCCCCTTGCTGCCTCTGCACCTTGCCATCTCCCCTCTGCAGCTGGTGTTCGTGACTTACCCTCCCACCCCTCCCCCCACTTTATCCATGCTCCACATTGGCAGGCTCTGTCCCCACTCTAGCTTGGGGCACTGAGCAGCCCAGCCGTGTAGCAGGGTCCAGCCCAGCCCTGTAGCAGCAGCATGCAGTCCACATGGCTGCTACGTGGCTGCTACAGGGCCAGACAGGGGCTGTGATCAGTGCCCCAGGCTAGAATAGGGATGGAGCCTGCCAGTGCAGAACAAAGGTAAGGTGCAAGCAACAGGCTGAGGAGTGGGAGCAGAGGTAGAAGGCGAAAGGGGAGCCTGCAAGGAGGAAAAGGTGGCCAGGAGGCAGATGCAAGCATGGAGCAAGCCGCTTGACCTCCACACACCACCTGCTCCCTGGCAGTGGTGGGGAGGATAAATTAAAGATGACTAGTTCGTGCTGATCAGGCATGTTCAGGCAGGTAGCTACTTCCTTGAATATAAAAGTTCCTACTCCCTCTGCAGACTCAGACAGAGAGCACTGCATCAGTTATACTTGGGTCATATTTTCAAACTTTTCTTCATAACCACTGAGCCTAGAAAAGTTCACCACTAAATTGAGGGAACTACTGTCCTAGGCACCTGCCTGCAGGTACATGCTTCTGTCTGGCTTTGTTCACATGAACATAGTAGAACTAAGATTCATATCCAAGTGATTTGCATCCTGCTTAATTCACAGTAGGTTACTACATTAAGGACAAGCTGCTCAGCCATTTTTGTGGCTTTTAGTTCAAAAGGTATCACCTCTCCACTTGGCTGGAACTCATCTTTGATGCTGCCCAGCTGAAGTGGTACCCTTTAAAATAAAAGCCAGAGCAACCAGCTGTAGCACCTCAGCAGTCTCATATGTCACACACACAACTCTTTATACCGCTGGATACTTCCAAACCTTCATCTTTGCAGGGGGTTAGGAACTGAAACCTGTGAAATATCTGAGTTCTGCAGTCATCCCCTGGCACCACTTACCAGTACATGAATAAAGTTAAGCATGTGCTTTTGTGTCCATAGGGATCACAGCTGAAAGAACTGGTCTTCAAAGTTTGTGATTTTTCATTTGTTTTCAGAGACTCGTCCCTATTTCTGTGAACAGTGTGGAAAAACATTTACTCAGCAAGGAGCTCTCAGGCGCCACCAGCGGATTCACACTGGAGAAAAACCATACAAATGTAGAGCTTGTGAGCGAACCTTTACAGACATGTCCACCTTGAGGAGACATGTATCGGTATGTTGCTGCTTTGCTACCTTTGCATCAAGAGAAATGTGGTTCTGAGGTTTAATTAGAAGTTAAAGAGGGCTTGGGGGAATACAGTTCTACTACTGAAACAATTTTTTAGCTTGGATATGTAAAAATAGACTATTTTAAAAGGTAGGTGGACCTATTATTATGGACTAGCTAATCTGATATAACTGTTTTGTCTATCTACTCCTATATGCAGAAGGAAGCTAAATCAAACAGATTCACAGTGACAGCAATTTCGCTTCACCTACACAAGTATAGAGCAAATGGACAAAACAATTATATTGTGTCAGTGAGACACACAGTCAGCCTGGATAATTTAAAGCAGCATACAGAGCTGTCCCTGGTGGGGTGCAAATCGGGGCAACCACCCGGGGCCCTGCACTTTGAGGGGTCCTGTGGACAGTATTGTACAGGCCCCGAGGGCACCACCACTCTGCACAGCTACCACATGCCGCTGGCTTTGCACTCTGGCTGCTCGCCACTGCCTGCTCTGCACAGGCCCCACACAGGCTGATATGCCCTGGGCCCCGCACACCCCTAGGGTCGGCTTTGCCAGCATAATTGTTTTCTCCAACCATCAGGTTTTTAACATGTATTTCTGAGGTGATAGTTTAAGGAAGAGAAGTGCCAAGCAACAAATGCCACACAACAAACCAGTTCCCAGTACTGACAGTCAAACCAGTGGTTTTTAAATTATGCTGGTTACTTTAAAAGCAAACATTGAACTTAAAGGAAAGAAAGCACTTGCGAGAGCTCTTGTGTTTCCTTGTTAGTGTGCTATAAAGGACAATGCCAGTATATGTAATCTGTTTAATCACGGTTGCCCTGGAAAGTGTGTGAGCCCTTACACTGCAGATACAGGAAATAGCATGGTCCTTCCCAGCATCTTGGAGGTCCCAGCGTATTCTCAGAGTGTTTGATAGTATATGAAGCTCAAAGTGATAAATTAGACTACTGAACAAGAGCTCTAGGATAACATTTGGGGTTTTGCAGTATTCTCTTTGCAAGAGAATCAGGTTTTTCTCAGTTGTCCATGTTTAGGTCTAGCATTCACCTGCATTCTGCTAACATCATATCCTGGCAAGGGGCCTAGACCACTAGAATCTAGGTAAAACAGATTCATTGTTTTGAAGCCCCGCTAATGCTTGATCAGTAGTTGCCTTTGCAGCATTGGAGTATCAAAATAACCTATAATCAAATTTGAATTTGTTTTTGTTTCATCAAGTAAATCCTCAGGTGTTTTACATGACTGTTCAGAAACTTTTCCTTTCAGCCACAGTGTTTGTTTTTTCTTCTTAGGTTCATGACCGGAATGCCCACTGGAGGAGTTTCTTAATAGATCTTACTAGCAAAAAAGACCATAATTGGTCCAAAATAGAAACCTTATCAGAGGTCCGCAGGGGGGAAGAGTCAGCACCAGAAGTCTGGTCAGTTGACCAAGGTACACTTTACAAACCAGAAATCAATAGCATGAAGAAAGCTGAACACATGCCATCTAGCGTTAACAACACTCAAGAAGCTGATCATTCCAATTTATACTTGTAATTACTGTAACCAGAAAACTGTAAAATGTCTTCATACAATTTAGTTGCTCCATTTTTTAAACTATGGAAGATATGGTCTCTTCTTTTTACAGGTCATATAATACATTGTAGTCAGAGAAGGATTCATATTCTTAACAGTAGTCTTTATACCCCTTAGGTTTTAGAACTGTATACAGTTTTATTTTTTAAAATCTTAAATATATCACCCAGTAAAATGCTCATTTATGAAAATATATGTTCTATAAACTGTTGTATGCTTTTATAATAAAGATACTATGATTAGAACACCTCATATAAAATGATCATCTATGCTGAAGCTATTTGATTTGTATGTATTTTATCGTAGAATTTTAGCTTTCTTGATAAATGCAGAATCGTTAAAATATTTGCTGTGAAATATTATAAATCAACTGGGACACAGCTGTTTAATGACTGAAAAAAGCCTGTGGTATGTATGCTGTTTCACAGCTTTATTCATTTCATTCTGTCTTGAGACTGTGATTTTTGCATTTGTCTTCTAGGCATAATTTCCTTGTGTACTTAAAGTAAAATTCTAAAATGCTTGTTTTTAAAAAGTGAGGGGCAAGCACACAGGTCTGTATGGATAATAAATAATAAGAACTTGTGAATTATTGGCTCAGTTTGCTAATTCAAATATTGATTTCACAACTCTGAATTAAAGGGAAATGATCTTTTACCTGGATTGTAGGTCATTTAGTCTTCTGAAAACTTGATTCAAAATTCTCAGTGACTTTTATAGCTGTAGGTGCTAAGCACATCTTGAAATCTTGCCTTAAGATTACATCTTTTTATTATTCAAAAAAATCCCCTGCATATACTTGTTATGATTTGTAAGATTTTTATACACCAAATTTAGAACTTTTAGAGCTGTATTTCCCTGATCAGATGTCATAATTTACACAATATGAAAGGTCCACTTGCCCAACAATAACAGAATGGTTGCCTTGGTTGAAATAGCTAGTGTTTCCTAAAGAATGCTTTCTAAATAAAATTGTACCCAATAAATCAGGACACTGAGAGCCCAGGATTTCAACTGCAGTTAGTGGGGGTAGGAAGTGCTCAGCACCGCTTGATAAAAGTCAGGCTATTTTTCTTTAGATGCTGAAATCATGGGTAATGTAAGTAGTCAATTAGGGAATGAATCAGAGTGTATTTTTGTTAAATTGTTTCTAATGTGCTGTCTTATTTGATGTAGAAGTTGGAAGACTTGTAGTGTATGAAAGAGATGATCACAGAAAGAAAAAAAGGATTGTTATTCAGGCAGTTGCTTGTCATGCTGTATTATTTTCCTGTCTCTTCCACGGAGTTCCCATTTAAAATGAGGCAGGTTTTTTACCTGTGTTTTTACAGGTGGTCATGAACTCTGTTCTTCCTGATAGGAAACTTAAGACACTGAATTCTGATTTGTAGAAGTGCCAATAACTTGCTGCTTCAACTGAAGTCAGCATGACTTCCAACAAATAAAATGCTAAGGTCTCTGGAAAAAATTAAGCCATAGGAATTTTAATCAAATTTGTTTATGGTTTTGATGAGTAGATTGCTGCCTCCAAGTTTTCTCATCTATAAAAGGCCATTACATTATTGGCTAATGTTTGTGAAGCATTGAGAAATGTGAGGGATGAGTATCAGAGGAGCCCACGTAAAGATCAGTAATTCTGCATTCAGAGCAGAATTTGAGTGGTTTGCAGCATGTAAGTCCTGGGATCACACACTGAACACTGAAAATCAATCTAAATATTGCATAGCATTGCCCATGCTGAGCATCAGATGCGAGCAGAACAAAATAGTATGTAATTGTGTGATTAACGGGAGTGTCATGATACACACAAATAGAGAAGAAAATTGAATGTTGTACAGTTATATAACCAAACTTCTCACACTTTATTTTGCAGCCTTGATAATGTTCTTTCCCACAACTTTGTGTGTGTAAGAGGGAGGGAAGTTTGACTGACAACCAGATTCAGACTGACCTGGCTCTCCAACTGTGTAACATGACCACTCTTCAAGGGTCCACTTAACTGTTGTGCTGACTGTACCTGACCAATAGAAAGCAGGACAGAGTTGTACCTTAGACAAACTCAGTGGTTCTAAACTAGGGTTGCTCAACCTTTGGTTTGCAGGCCAGATCTGTCCCCTGTCAGCCATGTCATCTAAACTGCAAAGGTCCCCATGATTCTGGGAACCAAAATTTGGTGGTGGAGGAGTGGTGGCACTGAATGCAACTCCCCTGCTGCCAAACTTCCACACCTGTGGGGAGCCCCAGAGGCTGCACAGCATGCTCAGTCAGCATGCAGAGGTGGCCCAGGGCCTGATCTGGATACATGGGGGCTGGGTGAAGATGGCGCAGGGCCTAATCCTGCAGTGTGGAGGCAAGCAGGGCAGCATGGAACCTCAATCTGGCAGTATGAGACCAAGCAAGGCAGCATGCAGCCCTGATCCAAGGGTACAGAGCTAAAGGAGGAAACGCAGGGCCAATCCTGGTGAGCAGGGTTAAATCTAGCCTACAGATCAGCTCCGTGCCACTTATCCAGACCACAACACCAACATTTGAGCTGTCCTGTTTTCTCTTTTCCGTATGCCATCAGATATCAACTTCCAAATCTATGAGCCATTGCCTGGTATCATGGCTCAATGTGCAGATTCCTTCTTCCTTGTCTGGGCATTTGTAAATATTACAGGTTTTAAGTGCTGTGCTGTCTGTTGGACACTGCAGTCACACAGGGGGCTGCCCACGAGGTTCATCATGTGAAGTGATGTTTTGAAACAATCGTATCCCAATCTCAGTCTGTCCACCTAGACCCACACTTCTCTGTCAAGGTCTGGCCCAATGGAGACTCGTTCCATGTTGGTATAAAACTCTTGTCTAACTTTTGCCAGCAGTCGGCCCGATCCTGTGCTACCCAAATGTTTTTTTCCCCCCTGTTCTAAACCTTTACTACTTGAGGCAGCCCCTGATAAATGCCAGCTCTTCACTTTTACTCTTTTCTGGGCTTGGGAAACAGCAGAGCCATTCTGCCGCAGGAGCTCAGCCAGACTGGAGAGGCCAGCAGTGTTTTGATAATGGGGATCCTTACATGGAAGGTCTGGATTTATCCCATGCATATCACCCTTCAAAAACCCTGGGGGCAGGGCCAGGGTGCTGGTTGCCCCAGCTGAGAATCACTGCACACCTTCAGAGAGGCACAAACTTTTTTGTAAGCAAAAACTTTTTTGGGGGTGCACCTGCCTCCCCAGCAGGTAAGTCCCACCCAGCTGGGCCCTCATTCAACTTACCCCTGGTTCTGCTTCTGTGGCACTGACCCTCACCATGGGGGCCTCAATCTAGACCCCATCTCTTCCCTCCCCTATGGACTGACCTGCTGGGCTGGGGCACGCATGTGCATACACACAGGCACTCAGCCCCCGCCCCAGCCTCGGATCTACCCGTGCACTGGTTGGCGACCACTGGTGTTAAGGGATTATTAAAGCACAATTAACCCTTAAATGGACACAATATATGAAAACATCAATTCAACTCAAGTCTGACTTTATTGATACAACAAATGTTATCTTAGCAGTTTCTACATAGAGAGAAAAACATTTGGTACAATGATCTTACCCAATCCCAGAAGTTACTTTGTTCAACAGAAAAGGTAGTCAATCAGTTCCTGAAAGCATCATTGGCTGGGACAGTCCAGACAGGTGTTGAAGGCTGGATTTATGCCGACACACACTTAACTTCTTTCCTGCCCCCCTTTACGCTTTTCTTTAACTTCACTCCTCTGATGATTCTGCTTCCAGACTGGTTTTCCTGGAGTCAGAATGCTGACCTTATTTTATCCTATCAGCATATTCTTTTGTTCAACAGACCCATCACAAGCACACCTCTTAATTTGAACTGTCTTTTTCTGGTGTCCCAACCTGTGCATTGTCCATTGGTTTTCTCTTATCACCTTTCATTAACATGCCCAATCATTTCATCCCTCTGATTCAGCCGGTTAGTGCCAATTTCAGTTAATTTGAGCTGGTAACAAGACTATTACTATGTTACATTAGAAAAACTTCTCACCAGTGATAGGAAAGTAAAGAAACTCTATGTGAGCAAAACTGAAGGCCATAAGCTGCCTGCAAGAGGGTATAAGGTGCCTGCAAGAACAACTCAAGGTCAGTTACGGGCACAAGCAAAATAAAAAATTCAAATACTAAGGCTATACAAAACTTAAGCAATGGTAAAATGAGGCTAAGTATAAAAGAAAAGAAATACTAGAATTCACCACTCAAGCAGATGCAATTAGAACATAAAGGTGACAAGCTACCCTAACAGAGAGGGGCACCCCATCCTTCCCTGCAAGCCCAGCGGCCTGCAGCTTGCCACAGCCTGTGCCTCTACAGCATTGACAGGTCTTAAATATGAAATTATCATATTGGAAGCTCAAAATTATCCTATTTGCTGAAAACCTATCCCACACTGAAAAAAATATGCAAATAAGTCTTTTGCTTGCTTACTTTATATTGCTCACTGGAAGTGAACAAATGAGAACTGGGTCATAAAAATTGAAGCATTTCTTTATTTTGAGGCTAGCCGTCTTAAGAGTACTGACAGCAAACTCAAATGTTGGTGATGGGTCTCTGAGAGGGACTTGGGTTTTTTATGTGCTGCATCAATGAGCTACCTCAAAAACAATTGCACATTTTGCAGACAAGGTTCTTTGGGTAAATCTGATATCTTTTCTTAGACCAACTCAAATAGTTGGAAAAATTCTTCTTAGCAAGCTTTTGGGCCCTTACATTTTAAACAATACATACATTTTGAACACTTTTACTATTATTGGTATGTACATTTTGAACACTCTTATTTCAAAAATTTTATTTTGAAAATGCGTACATTTTGAACGCTTTTACTGTTGTTGATCGTGCATCCCACAAGGTTTGAAATTATCGTACAAAATATTGCCAGGTGTACTGTAATTATTATTTTGTAGTACAAATACGATAATTACGGTACACTGGGCCTCTCTGAGGCACTCAGCCTCCAAGGGGCAGCCCTGCCACTCCCTCACTTCAGGCTGCGGCACTGCGGCGCCGCTAAGTTACAGAACCCTGGGCAGAGCCACCGAACTCCTCCCGCCTAGCGCGCATGCGCAGCAGGTCTGTAGGCAACTCTCGTGATGTTTCACCCCCCAGATACAGCTTTGTGGTACTCACCGGCTGGCGGCGTGGTTGAGTTTCTCGCCTTTTCTATTGGGCGCGGAACAAAGCCCGCCCCTCTTCCGCAGCTGCTTTCCCTCAGCTGGGGAAGCGTTGTGCAACAACGAACCAACGGGGTGGGGAAACCCTTTGCCTGCTAGCGGGCAGAAATCGCTTCCGCCCGGCTACCAGGCTGAGTGCGTCACATCCGTGCGCCGGCGTGGCCGCCGTTGTGCGTCGGATGCGGCGACGTGGGGATCCGCGAGTCCTCCCTCGACGGAACTGGCGGGGGGCGTTGCGCTCGCGAGTGCCCAGCGCTTCCGGCAGCCGCGCGGAGCCTGTGCGCAACGGCCCGGCACTCGCGGGCGGATGCGGCGCTGCCTGGTGAGCGCGGAGAGTGGCGTGCGGCGGGGGGAGGAACTACGGTAGAACCTGGGCACCGCCTGAGGGGGGAGGGGCTGGGTGCCGTGGCAGCGCGGGGTACCGTATTTACTCGAGTATATGATGAGTTTAGCATTTGTGGGAGCCCCTTGTTTTAGGTTTGGGGGAGGGGGTGTGTGTCCCGTGCCCTCAGCCAGAGCAGGCACAGGGTAGGGGTGGGGGAAGGCAGGCAGCAAAGTATGCAGGCACCTCTGGGCCACTGTGGGATATGCAGGCACCAGGGGGGGCCAGTGGCACAAGACAGGGGTCAGGCTATGGGAGTGCTGTGCCCCACCCGGCCCCCACTGCTGCTTCCTGCATGGCAGCAGGGTGGGGAGGGGTGAATTTAAGATAACCCCCCAAAATTAGACTCTAGCCATAGAAAATAACCAGGAATTTAAGACAGCCCTCAACCAAAATTAGACTCGGAAAATAACAAATCTATACATTTTCCACATGCAGAATCTGATTATTGGGAGGTTGTCTTCAGTTCCACGTTGTGTCACATTTGGGTGCCTGCAGTATTTGCCACTGTGGTGCTGAGCGGTTTGGGGTTAGACCTGTTCTGAATGGTTCTGCACCTCCTGCCGGTCAGCATCACTTCTGGGGTGGTGCCCCTCAGCCTGGGATGTGACCAGGTAATGCTGTGATGTGGGTACTAGATAGAGGTGTCACCTGTCACTGGCTTTGACCCCAATCCTACAAGCTGTTCCACATCACTCAAAGACTGCCGAGCAGTTTATAGGGCATCTGTATACATGCAGAGAGGTTGCTCCACACATTGTAATTACAGCGCGTTGGAGCATACTCAGTCGAGCCTGCTAGAGTGTGGTAGTTACCACGCTCTTGCAGCCTCCCATGTCACGTGTATCAGCATCCCTGAGCTGAAAAATGGTGGCGGGGACACTTTAAAGTTCATTTGACAAGCTTTAGTTAAAGCACTCCTACCTGTATTTTTCAGCATGGGGACACTCCGGGCACTTTAATTAGAGCGGCTCTCGGAGCCTGTCTAATTAAAGCCTCCCCAACCAGCACATGTAGAAATGCCCATAGAGTCTGCTGGGACCCTCAACCTCCTCTATGGAAGAAAAATATACATGAAGGTTTCTGTTGGTACTAGATCTCCTTGAAGCATAGGATGCTGCTAGCCCAGATTGAGCATCCTTAAGTTTTCCGTTGGTGATAAAATCCTCTTGTTGCCGTACATACCCTATTTTACAGGCCGCATTATTATTTTTCTTTGAACATATTTCAAAACAGTGGAAGAGCAGCATTACAAGAATGAGCGTGCGTTGCACCTTAAGAGTTGTTTTTAGAGCTACGGTTCTTCTGCTAGGAAGGGTCAAGCACAAATGTTTAGCAATTCTGCTGTAACAGACTGATGCATTATGAGATGCGTGAAGCGGTTGTCTTGTGACTGGATCCTGAAACTAATAGGGAGTATGTTGATTAGAGTTACAGCATTCTCTAGCTCTTGCAGATAAATGTGGTAGGTTTGATGCAGAAGGTCTTGCGTTCAAGTGTAATTAATTGTTTAAACTATTTCAGTTTGTGCAAATAATTAACCATGTATTTTCTTAAATAATACAGTATTTACACACTATAAAATGTGGTTGAAGGTTTGCATTTCTACAGAGCAGGTTAACATCTAAACCGTGCCAGTAGTAACAAAAAGCACTTTTTTCTAATGGCTGTTTGCTTAGTTTGCCTCCAAAACAATGAAGTCTGAAATGAGCAGAAAGAAATGTGTGAAATAAATGCACAGAAATGGAAATAATGTTTAGCCACCCAAATTCCATCCTTCGTGCTTAGAGAAGGGGGTAACGTGGAGAGAAGGAGCCCAGCTTTTTAATCCTTGTTCATAAACTGTTCCTGATGAAAGCAGGAATTCTGGGCATGCGGGAAATGCTGCCTTGGTCTCTTGGTTTGTAATGGTACATGTGCTTTGAGATATTCAAATGCTTTGACATTAGCACAAGGAAGAGAAGAATAGAGCGGTCAGGCTCTCACTGACTTTTGTCTTAGATGTGTTTGCAAAACCTTAATGGAGTCCTTTGGATGTTCTTTATAATGGAATGATGATTTTTTTTAAACTTCTTGTAATGTGGAGGTTATGGATCTAGAAGTTCAAAAACTAGAAGATGGGAAAGCTTTGTTTTGGGGGTAATACATACCTAGCGTAAAGGCACTGCAGGAGGTATCAGTTAGAGATTGTCTTCCTAGTGTAGTATGAGAGCTTAAGCAAATCCCTGTGCCTGTCTCTGCCCATTGCCACTCCCATCTTTTGGCCATCTTGTTTACACATGCTGTAAGTTCTTCAGGGCAGGAACTCTCTCCCTCTAAACTTTGGCATGTTGCACAGTACAAGATGGCCCTCAAGGCAGCATTATACTTACTAATAGTTAAGCAGACTATTCTTGTTCGTTTTTTTTTTTTTTTCTTTTTTTTTTTTTTTCTTTTTTTTTTTTTTTCTTTTTTTTTTTTTTTCTTTTTTTTTTTTTTTCTTTTTTTTTTTTTTTCTTTTTTTTTTTTTTTCTTTTTTTTTTTTTTTATCTTTTCATCTACATAAGTATTGTACTGAGTCGTACCACGTCCATCTGGCCCAGTAGCCTGACTGACAGGAACAAGGAGTGGATGCTACTTGCAACATAAGAATTGGAGCTTTTAAAAATATTCTGTTAGAAGTGTTGTTGCTGGAAAATCACAGTTTTGACAAAATACAGTCTTTCCCCAGAAGCGTCTGCTGTCTAGAGAGAGGTGGTTAGCTGTGCAAAAGATAGGGCTGAGTGACACCTTAGACTAGAAGCTTTTAACCTTTTTTTAATAAGTGTACCCTTGGCAGCTGGACCCCGGGGGGGGGGTTAGGGGGAGCGGGTGGCTGGATGCAGAGTGGCAGCAGCACAGGGTGGTGGGTGGCGACAGTGGCAACAACCATCACGTGCAAGCTTTCTCCAAGGCCCCCCCCTTCGCCCCCCCCAGGTGTCTGGCCAGGGGGGTGGCCCTTGCCCCCAGCCCTGCTTCTGGGGGGCAGCAGTGCAGAGTGGTGGTTGGCAGCGCTTCATCCCCACCTGCCTGCACCTCCTATGGCCTTCCCAAGTACCCCCAGTTGACAACCCGTGCCTTAGGTTACCAATAGACATTGTATTTGTTCCAGGAAAAGTAATTTTATTTGCAGGGAAACTACAGTCAGATACAGACATCCTTTGCCCCAGGGCAACTCTCTGAAAAAAAACATTCAGGATAAGAAGCAGTAACAGTTGCTAAAAGCAGGTGGATTAGATAATAGGGATAAGCAGTTGATGTCTAAAATAACTCTGGAGTTAAGCACTAGTCCAGGTTGCCTCTTTCAGTGGTGTCTCCTTTTCTCTTGTTCTTTTCCTTTCTGTTTGAAACTATTTCTTTCTGAAAACTATTCATAGCATCTGCAGGGTCCTGTGTATTCGGTGTCCTGAATTTCAAAATGGCAGCGGAGGTGCTTTAACCAAATGTGTTCAAGAAGCTTTAGTTAAAGCACCTGTGCTGCCATTTTGTAATGCAGG